GAGCCCAACCTTCTAACAAGAAGGTTTCTCTGAACTCTGTCTGAATTGCTTTTCTGAACAAGATACAACTTTATATTACATGCTGAGGCCACACATAGAGCTCACCTGTGGACTCCATCACCAACTAAAATGGCTCACAGGGGCTGTGACACTTGGGTTGCACTGCTGCACTGGGCAACAGAGACCCATGCCCTCACTGAGTGGACTTGACAGCAGGGAGACAGTCCCTGGGTGAGGAGCACATTTCCTGTTAGAAAAGACACTGGAAGCCAGAGGCCCCTCACTAAAGGGATGGCCAGAGTTCCAGGTGAGGGTAGGGCTCCCTGGGAAAGGAGGAAAGAGGTAGGCAGACAGGGCCCATGGAAAGGCCATTACAGCAGCAGGAGACACGGGTGCCAAAAGGGCAGAGGGCTGGGAGCATGGCAGCAATGGTCTCAGCTCACAGAAAGATAATCATACAACAGGTTCCCACGTCCCTTGCTTCTCTGTGTTTCAGGTGCCCACCAGGAGCAAGCCATGGACAAGAAGCAGCCACTGTGCATTGTAGGGCCTGACAATGACTTCTCTGGTCCCTTGTAGTGTGAGCTCCACATACCTAGGTCACCCATTATGTGGTGCCTAGGAGGAACAAGAGGAGCCACAGGGAAGCTGCTAACAGAGGCTCCCAAACCAAGGCAGAGAGGACAGCACAGCATGCGGTAGTCCGGGCACCAAGAAGCTTTCTTCCACTTGATAAACACAGCCTTCCCTCTGTTGAGTCCCTTCTTCCCAGCAGTTTTGGCTACAACTAGCTGCAGAGTTACACACACTGCCCTCCTCTGTAAGAAGGGTTGCAGCTTCACTGACTACAGGCACAGGCAGACTTCAGTCAACTCATTGATGATTAAACAGGGAAGAGCTTGGTACTTCTGGGCTAATACAAAAGTGTGATTGGGATGTTAGGCTGTGGATAGCTGCCAGGACCCAAAACACATCTACCATCCCCTGTACAGTGTTGCCCAGCTCCTGTTGAGGAGCTGGGCACTGCAGGTCCTGGTAGCCACAATGACCAGCGTCACCCTCCACACATACACAGAGCTGGGGTTCCTCTTCGTTGGATGCTGTTCCCTACCCTTCTCAGGGGCCTCCTGGGACACAGAAGACTGGGGCAGAACCTGGGAGGGAGTGCCAGGAGGCATGCAGCCTCTGTCTTGCCCCACAGCCTCTCCCAGAGGAATGCTTTCTTGGCTGCCATGTGGCTTCGCCATACCACTCACCCAGTGTTTCCCTCCTATCTCCCAGACTACCTCCTGGATGAACTTACCTTGTCTTTCCATCTCCAGATTCTGAGTGCCCAGACTTGCCTGCCTGCAGCTGGACCTGGGGAACCTCACCCAGTCTGTGGTGTTAAACACATTTGAGCATCAACAACCTGCAGTCATATCTCCGACTCATATCCCCTGCACTCACACCAGAGTGTGAGTGCCTCTCTTTCCTACTCCAGAGAAGCTGAGAGTGCTCACATTTAATCCACATCCCAACCCTTTGCTGCTCTGCCTCAGAGACCCACTCATTCACAGACTCAAAACACATTTGCTGAGCACCTGTGTGTGCTGGCATGATCCCAGGCTCCCAGGCAGAGCAGGGAAGAGGTGAAACTGCTGCTCTTCTTAGTGTGAATCCGGAGGAGACAAAAGACAACCCTATGTGGGCACACGCAGGGTGGTCCTTGCTAGGGGAAAGGCCAGGCACTCTCGGCCCTAGGGCACATGCTGGTCTTGCCTCTCCTGAGGCTCACATCTACTATGCTAAGTCCTGGGCCAGCATCCTCAGTCCAAGTTGTGGAGACATTCAAACACATCCCAGGAACAGGACAGGGACCCAGACCTTCCAGTGCTAACACCGTAACAAGCCAGGCTGGCAGCACCTCTGAAGGCTCAGATTTCTGACACCAGACTTTCTTTTCCACAACACCAGACTTTCTTTTCCATAGAAAAAACAAGCAGGTAAGGATCTGGCCAGTGACAAGAGCTGGGGAGATGGACACTACCCAGGAAGCCCAGCCAGGGAGGCCTATCTTTATGGTCTCTGCACACCAAAGGAGCCTCCTGCTTGCTTTGACAGCCATGCATGATGGTTCTTGTGAACACACAAAATTTAATGTCACCACTTAAGATAAAAATTCCCTTAGGAGCTTCTCCTGCAAGAGCATCAGGGTTGTAAGTGCTGCGCTGGCGCCACCTCCTGGCAGCAAAGGCCATTTGCAAGTTGCCTGCATCCCTTAAAGCCCCTGGGCTTCCCCACCACCCAGGAGCAGAAGACCCCATCCACCCAAACCCCACCATCAGGAGGGACAGGACTCCCCAGAACACATTCCAAATCCCACCAACCAGGAGCAGCAGGACCTTCCACCACACACACACACACACACACACACACGCCAAACCCCACCACCAGGAACCCCCCCCACACCCACACACACCCCATGCGGCAGGCGCAGGTCAGGTCAGCAGCTTCTGGAAACAGGCCACTATTTTCTGATCCCTATTAATGCCCATGACAGCATTTATGTACAAGACAAGTTCATTTCAATTTCCTTTTTCAATTAATGGCCTATTATTTGAACCGGACTCAGCTAAAAATACTGCTCTGGTACCATCAATCTCACAAAGATTAAATTTCCCTCTGTCTGAAACCAGAGGGCACCAGGCTGGGCAGGAGGGTGGTGTCTGGCTGCCCTAAGCTGCCAGCTCTGTCCAGGACTCCAGGAGTACAGGTGCTCTCTACCAGGACACATAGAGGTCCTCACTAGAGACCAAAACACACAGAGGGAGAAAGTGAATGGGCACGAAGAGGTCAGCACTCAGGGCCCCAAGACAACTATTATGATCTTAGTTACAGCAAGGGATAGTAAAGTGCCTACTGTTCTGTGTCAATCTGTTCCAGACAGATGTGGAGCACCCCTGACCATCACCACAACCAGACAAGGCTGTCCACAGCCACCCAACCTGCCATAAAGGCACCTCACAAGGACCAAGGCTGCAGGAGAGATGAGGCGGATGCTGCCAGGAGAGAGATGCCAGGCCACAGGCACAGCCGAACAAAGGAGAGTGAAAGGTACACCACACACCATGCCCCAGCCTCATAAGGAGGCCCCTCTCAATCAGTGCCATTTTGAGGACTCCTTCCTTCAGCATCCACATGGCTGGCCTCTCCTGCCTGTGCTTACAAACTCTCTTCCCTCAGCCTGCTGCTTGTAAAGCACCTGGGTCTTCCTACTTGAAGGAGGTGTGAGACAGGGACTTGCCCATGGCCTATGTCTGCAGTGAAGCAAGGCCACGACAGGGCAGAAAAGAGAGCTGTGAAGGGCCACTCCTGAGGGCAGGTGGGGGCCAGGGGCCACTCCTCAGGTCAGGTGGCAGCCAAGGTCTCTGTTGTACCTGGCTGCCCATCGTGCTGAGACCTCAGGTGTTCATTCTGCTTGAAGCTTGTGCCCATAATTGGATGGATGGATTTATACCTTTTGCGGAATTATGAACAGCACCAGCCATTATTTCTCCAAGCTCCTCTGGTTCATCCCCTCTGCCCTCCCAGGAACACATTTGTCAGGTCATGTGACATCTCCAAGTCATGCCCTTTCAGCTGTTTTCAAGCCTTTTCTCTGTGCCTCATTTTGAACAGTTTCTCTTGCTGTCTTTAGGTTCAACCATTTTTTCCTCTTACAGTTCATTCCCACCAGTGTATTTTTCTCTAAAGGTTTTTGTCTTTTTCATCTGCATAAGTCTTAGGAAGACAGGAAGTTCGGTCCTGGCAGAGGAAAGCAAGAGGACCAAGGGGAGCTGCTTTTTATGCAAAGAACAAGGAGTCCAGAGCTGGGAGGAAGCAACCAGTGCAGGAAGGGGAGATGGAAGAAGAAAGGGTAGGCAGTGGGAGGAGGGGAGCTGTGTCCTCAGAAGGGGCATCAGGGCCCTGGCTCCTGGGCCTCTTGAGGCAGCAGAGTTGGAGGCAAGGCTGCCCCAAATGTAGGTGAAGGGTGAGAGCAGGCTCTAGCAATGGAGAGCAGGCATTCTGCAGTTTCAGCAAATACAGACACTAGGACCCTGCATGTGATGTTCTCAGCCACGAGAGGTTGGTATTTACTTGGTATTAGACATCCAAATTTAGAGGCAGAAACTTTGACAAGTGGTTCTCTAACTCCAGGGTGAGCTTATATCATGTCCTGCCCACCCAGTCCACGTGTACCATCTCTCCATGCAAGTGAGTAGCTGGGTAGGAGATGAGCTGACAGAGAAACAAGCAGCTGTAAGTGTGACACTGTGAAAGAAGGTAAGGTGAAGGATGTGGGGACAGAAAGCAAGGGAAGCTGATCCAATCCAGAGAACCAGGAGACCAGTGATAGTGCTAGAGTCTCTGGTCTCCAAACCAACAACAGAGACCCAAAACCTCTGAACATCTCCCCTGAAGAGCTTCCCACTCCCTCCCATGCATCCGGCATGGGATAGGTCTTTCCGAGATCCATAGCGGCTCCATCCCATTCTTGTGTGCTTGCCCAATTGGGCAAGCTGAAGGAAACCAGAACTTCAGAGACCTGCTCAGGGCTCACAAAGGAACAGCCAAGTCCAGCAGGGCTGCTGGCACAACAGCTCTGGAGAGCAGCTCAGGTTCCAGTTCAATTTCTCATCTCTACCAGCCTGGAGATCCTGCATTCTGCCTCTATTCTCACACATCCCAAAGCTAAGGACCTTCCTCCCTTGGCCATCCATATCTCGATTCCCACCTGGGCTTTGTCCACACCAGCTGACAAGGCAACCCTGACATGCCTATGTGTGCCACGCTGCCCTCCATGTCAGGCCACAGTGGCTCAAACCACCCAACAGGCTGCAGGATGTGATCTTTTAATTCAGGCTGGTCACAGTGTGCTAGTGAGAGCGAGTGTGCAGCCAACTCTTACTGTGCCTTTAGCAGCAGGGCAAGACCAGGCTCCCTTTGCCTGGGGCTCACACCATGGCTTGGGAGCTCACCGTGAAGTGCTCCTGTGATTTGTAGTTCTCATCCAGGTAGACGCGAGCCCTGCTGTACTCTTTCATTGCATCACTTGACAGCAGCTCCCTGGGAGGAAAAGAACAGGTGCAGTGAGTGTGCCCAGCCCCTCAACAGATGCCAAGAGGCAAAGTATGTAGTTCAAACATGAATCTTCATATCACCCCAAACCCTCCCCAGTCTACTGTGGAACAAAATGGGGGAAGATGGGGAGAGCAAAGGCAGAAACTGAGGCCCACTTATGTTTTCAGGGCATAGGGTGAGGCTGCTCAGTTCAGGCTCCTGTCTCCATGCAGCCTCTGAGATGCTTAGAGTCTGTGGCCTCCTGGGAATGGAGACATTGTGGTGGGGACACTGAGAACTCACCCAAGAACACACACCAAGAAAGTGTGTCCCCAAGTCTGTGGGGTCTGGGGGCTGCTCATGTTTGACCAAAGGTAGAAGTGGGATCTGCACAGGTGGAAGCCATCACCCACAATCATACCCCAGAGCCAGGAAGTCCCACTGCAGACAAAAGTAAGGGCAGTGACAGTCGCCATGGGTTTTCCATGAAGGAAGGAGCCCCAGGAGCACAGCATCGCCATGTGGTTCTAGCCCTTACTGCTCCTCACTGCCAGAGCCTAAAGCAGAGGCCCTCACCATGGGCCCTAGAAAGCAAGGCCAGAGCGGAAGCTCAGCATACCCAGGGCTCAGCTGGGAGGCCAGGGGCCACCACCCTTGTTGGAGGCAGGCAGCAGGCACCACACCATAACCTGGCTATCTATGTGTCAGAGAAGGGGTCCTGATAAGAAACAAAAGTGAGTCAGCAAAGGCAGGCAGGACCATGGCCTTGACAAACTTCAGTGGACCCTCAGGTAACCTGGCTGCTGGCGAATGCAGACCTCAAGGTGCTTTGAGGGGGACGAGACACAGATACCAAACACTGAGTCACATCTGTATCACATCAGAAGTGGCACACAAAACTTCTGAAGCTAAAACTACAGCATCAGAAATAAAATGCTTTCACTCCATGGACTTGGAATGGCAAACCGGAGAGCAGACCAGTGGCTCTCAAAGTGGTTCCCACCCTGAGCCAGAGGGGACCGGGAAAAGACAAGATTGTGGGCAGCACAAGGACACCAAATCTGAGGACAAGCGAGGACGGAGTGAAGAAGAGCAGTAATTAAAGAAACAGTGGATAAACATTTTCCAAATGTGAACAGAAATAAAGAAAATCAAAGCAAAGTACAACACAACCAAGTTGCTGCAAACAAGCTACAAATGACAAAATCTAGCAGGGGTGGAGGGTGGGGGAGAAGCACCTCATATACAAGAAAATTAAGATAAGAACAATTGCCAAATTCTGGTCAGAAACAATGCAGCACAGAAGACAATGCAACGGCACCCTTGAAGTAGTGTAGGAAACAAGCGAGGATTCATCCCCAACAAAGAAGCTTTCAAAAAGGGGGATAAAGGCCTTTTCAGACCAACAAAAGCTGCAAAAATCATCAGCAGCTGATTTGTTCTTCAGCTGAGGGAAAAGAACCCAGATAAAAACTGGAACCTACAGAGCACCAGGAGTGGTCAGAGCCCAGGACTAAGTGACAACGTTACTGCTTCTCAGTCTTCTCGAGGTAACTGCTGCTTAAGGCAAGCAAGGCACACAAGGCACAGCATAGGGAGGGGCCCACGCAGTGGGGTAGGACCCCTGCCCTCCTGGGGTTCAGGTGCCACATCCCTGCATGTCCTTCCCTGGGCTAAATGCCCGCTCCTCCAGCTGCACATCTTCCTTTTGTTACTGGTTTGCAGGCATCTTGACATTTCTGGACACTAATTTCTGCCAGTGACAGAGTACCGTCCATCACAATGTGCTAATTCTGCACAGCTTCACCTTTCTAAGTGGTGCCCTCTGTGCCTTTTTAAAGAAAGCCCTTCCTGTCCTAAGCCATGAAGATATTCTCCCAGATCTTAGTCTTAAAGTTTTACTTCAATACAACTGGAAATCGCTCTGACAGAGAGGGAGCAGCCACGTGGCACAGGGTGGAGTGATCACGTGGGCTGTGAAGCAGGATACAACTCCATCTTCCCAACAAAGGAACCCAGGTCTGCTCAGCCCACAGCACCACATCCCATGCACCTGAGGAAACAGAGGTGGCTTGGCCAGGAGTCCTGCCCAGCATATCTGCCCACCGCACAGAAGCCTAAGGTCTGGCTGGCAGAAGCTCCACCTCATCCTTCTTCAGCAGTTTTAGCTGTTCTTCACTCTTTGCTCCTCCAAAGCAATTTCAGTATTCAATTGCTGAATGTCAGGGAAAATGCCTTTAACACTTTATAGATTATTTAGGGAAACTTGCCTGAGAACCACCCCGTCAAGCTCAAGGGCCTCCAGGTAGGAATGGAGCATGGCAGCTGTGTCACTCCCAACACCCATTTTCACATCAGCACCAGGCTGGGGGCTCAGCTACTCCATCCCTGATCCAGGTGCTCCACATGGCCCTGGCAGTGGCCTGCCTTCCTCAAACCACAGAGGCCTCTGGACCAGCTTCAAAAGTCATGAGGTGTCACCTCTGCCATGCTGTTGGCCAGAGCACTGTCAGGATGGCCCAAGTGCTCTCCGCAGCAGGTGTAAATCACACTGTAGGTACAGTCACACAGAGGACAGGCTTTATTGTCATGGTCCCCATGCATGCCATCACCTTCAAGTGTTTCCAAAACCTTACAAATCTTTTCGCTTTTCATGTATGTTACATTTCCGCAGAGTGACAACACAGTATGTACTCCTGATAACAGGGATTTTGTAGGCCTGGGGTCAGATTTCTAGTGGATACATCCCAACAAGGGATCCTTCTTCCATGCTTCACTTCCCACAGTCCATTCTGAAGCCATTTCAGCAATATCCCACAATAGCAAAGCTCCACGGGGACTGGGTGTCAGCCAATTGTGTGCTGTTTGAGTCACAGGGACAGTAGTGACAGGAGAGGAAATCCACGTTTAGCCAGAGATGACATCACAAAAAAGAAATAAATGGTGTCACAGATACAAGCCCAGTTTTTGTGCACACACATCTGGACTTTCGTTTAGGATGCAGCGAAGGGACATGCAGCACATCCCAACAGCACTGGTGAGGGGTGCCGTCACAGCGTCCAGGGGCCTGGGTGCCCCTGGCTGGGCTGGCCCTGCTCTGCAGCACTTAGGCCTAGCCCCAACTGCACTGAAGCCTCGAGCACATCAAGCCCAGCAGGAGCCACCTTTTGCAGCATCCAGCGGGTGATTGAGGGCACAGGGGGAGACTGCTTGCTCTGTTAGCCTGAAGATAGTCCACACTGAGCTTCCATATGACGTCTAGTAGCCTATGTCTGTGGCTAATTTGCCTCCCCATATTCACAGCAGATCGAGACCCAGACTCCAGCCAAACTCAAGATATGGTGCATGGGCCTCAAAACCTAACAAGGCCAGCTGCACACATCCTATGGCCGGTTGACCACACAGGACATCCGGTCCACAATGCTCCTGACCCAGGGACTATGCTCACTGTGAAAAAGACCCTCAGAAAGAGGCTATGTGGGCAGGAGAGAAATCTCTACAGACAAAGGCCTCAGTCGGCCAAGCACTCCACAGTGCTCCCCAGCATCTCCAAAGGCTTAGCAGGAGACCCCATGGCCTGGACTGTGTCTCCAGGGGCCTCCTGCTTATCACTGACCACAAAGACCACTCTCAGCCAGGGCAGGGTGCAGTCACACAGTAGCCCCTCCTCTAAGCCCTGTCCTTGGCCAAGAGAAACACATGCCTGAACATGGTCTCAGGCAGGCACACATGGACAGGAGGGTGGACAGGGAAAGTCTTGATATGACGCAGGGCCTATGAGATCATCCTGAATTGTCCTCGAGAAGTGTTACCTTCCAGTCCTTTCCTTATATGTTTGTTTGTTTCTTTGTTTGGGGTGTTTTGGTTGTTGTTGTTGGTGGTGGTGGTGGTGGTGGTATTTTGGGTTTCATTTTGTTTGGTTGGGGTTTTTTTGGTGGTACTGGGGTTTGAACTCAGGGCCTCATGCTTGCTAGGCAGGTGTTCTACCACTTGAGTCACTCCCCTAACCGTTTCTTGCTTTAATTATTTTTCAGATAGGGTCTCACACTTTTTTCCCAGGGCCAGCCTTAGACTGTGAGCCTCCTATACGTCTGAGACCACAGATATGCACCACCACGCCCAGGTGTTTGTTGAGATAGAGGTATTGTCAACTTTCTGCCCAGGCTGACCTCAAACTGAGACCTTCCTGATCTCTGCCTCCCAAGTAGCTAGGGTTACAGACATGTGCCACTATGCCAGCCTGCATGAGTAATGTCTTTCCACGAGTTATATGCTGTTTGGAAGAATTTCTTGGTTGTGAACAGTTGGCTCTATAGTTCCTCTGTGACATGGGGTCTAGCAGATTATGGTTGTCACCAGCAGAACAGCTAAGCACCAGGCAGCACACCTGCTTTTCTTCTCAAGTTTCAGGGAGGAAAGAGGCAGCAGTTGGGAATGGAGTGGCCAGAGACATCCACAGCAGTCAGAGACCCACACAACAGCCAGAGACCCACAGCAGCTGGTTCCTCAGTGCATGCTGGGGACAGAGGCCGGGGCACAATTCAGGACCCATCCCCACCTGCACCTTATCTCTTTGAAAGAGGTGGCTCCTACCCTGCCAGCCTGAGGGAAGGAGTTTGTCAGGATCAGAAAGCTTCTATAAGTAACACCCAGGAAAGACAGAATGGGACCTTCCAGGACCACCAGGTCAGAAAGGCAGAACAGGAGGAAGAAGGATATGGAAGGAACTCTACAGAAACCCAGCTGGGTACCTGCTGGTACCCACTCCTCCTCCCCACCATGTGTCCATTCCAGAACTACTGGAAACACAATGCCCTCTTCCTGGGCAGGACCCAGGTGGATCTGTCCTATAGGGAGCCACCGGGCACACACACTGCAGGTGCGGCGCGTATGTGGCTCCTTCCTAAATGATGTAGATTTTGCCTCCCAGACAGCTGGAGTTCTGTGCTGATTTCACTGGACAGGGGCTGCTGCATGCAAACTAGCCCTGCCCATTTGTCCATTGTCCACTGCAGCTCTGGCAAGTATTGTGTGGCCAGCAGAGTATGGCCTCAGCATAATCTGATGGGGGTTACTCTGTCCTATCCCCTAACCTGGGACACAGATGCTCACCCTTTGGAGGCAAGTGCTGCCATACAACTGGGCCACATCTTCTCTATGAAAAACTACAACCCCCCCAGGGTAACCAGAGAGTCCCAAATGGTGGTGGGGATCACACCCCATCCACAGCCCCCTCCCCACAGCCTGCCCGAAACTTACTTGACAAACTTGTCCACATGGGACATGGAGGCTTCATAGTTCTTCCCTCCGAACTCCTGGCAGTGCAAGGCCACAAAGTGTGGCTTGTGTGCATGCAGGACCTGGGGAGAAGCACAGGGTCAGAGTACAGAACACCATGGGGCCCCGTACGTCACATGAGGGCCCCAGCCTGGCACCTCAGAGAGGGGACCAGGGACACACGTCAGGGCTGTAAGTACTGAGCAGGCTCTGGCAGCCAGCCACTTTCACACTTGTATCGACTGTATTTTCAGTGTCCCCGTGTTTCTGCTAGAGTAGGACCTTCAATAACCTAGGGCTTCTTTCTCTGTTGATCACAGAGCCCTTGAAAAGCTCCCAAAATAAATGAGCATATCTCACAATAAAAACACCACCTCTGTCACTTGAGCATGTCCCTGCACAAGGAGGCAAGGCCAGACGTGCACAGGTGTGTGAGCATGTACACGTGTCCATGAGTGTGTGCGTACTGTGTAAGTGTGCATGCATGTGATCACGTGTAAGCAAACATGTGAGACATGAATGTGTGTGAGCGACTGTATATAAGCACATGTGTGGAAGCAAAAATGTGTGAATGTGCTTGTAAGCACATACGAGCCAGAGTGTAACTGTATATGCACATGTGCATTAGTGGGCATGCGTATGTAAACACACATGAGCAAAGGTGTGTGAGAGCATGTGTGTGAGTGTGCATGTACACGCATAGGCACACGTGAGCAAAGGTCTAAGTGTGTGAGCACACGCAGGCACAAGTGTCCACCTGTTCACACGTGTGTGAGCATATGCTCACATGCACGGCTCTACAGGAGCATGTGCATTCAGTGTGTGCGCGTGCCTGGGCAATGTACCTTTAACATAACTCATCAGAGTAGACTCAGAGCATGCTCAGGGCCACAGAGTGCACACCTTGTGCTCGCAGCAGCCCTCTGTGAGATGCTCCACCTCCCTACGTTGAGCAGGCAGGCACTCAACAGTAACATGACCAAGGTCACACGGTCACACAGCCACTGATGGCAGAGCCTGGACTGGTCTATAGCTTACAGCCCACCCCTGCCCTACACTGTACCATCACTGAGGTTTCCAGGTTCTCAATATGTTTCTGAGGTCACCAGCAAGGATCTTTTTTTGGCAGTACTGAGATTTGAGCTCAGAGCCTCACACTTCTTAGGCAAGCACTCTACAACTTGAGCCAAGCCCACAAACTTTTTGCTTTGGTTTATTTTTTTGGATAAGGTTTCTTACTTTTGCCTGGGGTAGCCTTGGACCACAATCCTCCCGCTTCCTACATAGCTGGGATTACAGATGTGCACACCATGCCCAGCTTGTTTTTTGAGACAGATTCTCACTAAATTTTGCCTGGGCTGACCTCAACAGTAATCTTATCTCTGCCTCCCAAGTACCTGGAATTACAGGTGTGAACCAATAGTCCCTGACAAGGACTGTCACTCAACTTAACCCTCAGTGCACTAGATCTGTCCTAAACTTCTCCAGCCAAAGAGCAGACCCACTGATACCCTCCATGATGGGCTTCCTGAGTGCTGGCAGCCATATGACCACAACACAGACCTGTGTTTTGAGGTGGCACAAAGAGCCCAAACATCTCCTGGGCAGGAGGGAGATGATGAACTCTCTGGCCTCGAGGGAGATGATGAACTCTCTGGCCTCATTCTCCTGGAACACAGGGCAGGAAGCACCTCATGGGAAGCCTGGCACCATAGAAAGAAAAGGCCTCTGGGAAGGGCAGGAAAGCAGGAGAGAGAAGTAGGCAATAAGTCAGAGTCTCTGCCATCACAAGGCCAAGGGTGGTGGCAGTGGAGACCCATGGGCAGGGAAGGGCCATGGGGCACTGAGTCAGAAGTTTAGAAGTTATTCAAGTGCAGGTGGGCACTGGCCACAGCCTCACCACCCCTGCACTCCTCCTGTGCACTCTAGGTTACATATTGCCTCCAACATGAATGTCACCAGCAGCCTTGCAGCTGTGGCTCTGCTCAGTGGCAGGTGCTGGATGGAACCCACCACAAGGTCCAGCACTAGCAGGAGTGAGTAGGTCTCACTTGCCTTCAGGTTGTGATGTGGAAAGACAGACACATTTATCAAAAGGGGAAGATGGTCCAGGGCCACAGCTGGGTCTGAGCACATAATGAGCATGGCCACGGCCCCGTGGGCAGCAGTGCAGGAACATAATGTCCAACAGCAGCCACCAGTGGACAAAAGGCTCTCCTCTTACAACAAATGGCTACAGGCTCCATCACACACACACCTTCCCTCTGCACCACTAAAGCCGCACACTGCAGCCTATCCTGACCACACACAGGTGCTGGCACCTGCCATGCTCCTCCCACAGCTCACTCAAGGCACAAGTCACAACCTTTGCTTTTGAGTAGAAATGCATAACAGTTCTTTGCAGGTCTTCAAATCTGTCTGCCTTTGTCCCAATTCCAAGTAACATTTTCCCTCTTTAAATGATTTTTCTGTTGTTTAAACAGAAATCGCCTCCTAGTATCCAAAAGCCAGTGGTTAAATAACACTAAACGCCTTTGGGTCCAACTCTGATCTTGTATGTCTTCAAGAGTAGAAAAATCTCAAATCCGGGGCTACATGAAGAGTCAGCTGTTGGTCCAAATGCAGGTTACAGACAAAGCCACAGGAGAACAAGGAAGTCACCAGCCTTCCTGGCCTGGCACCTGGCACGGGGGTCCCTCCCCACATGGTCGTTCCACACTGCTCAGAGGGAGCCCAGTCTCTGTTGGAAACCGCAGCCCTCTCCATCACGTGGTAGAGAAGGCAGCTTCAGCTGGGGTCAAGCCACCAGAGTCAGAAGTCACATCCTCAGCCATGTGGGACACGTTGTTCTTGCTGCTTCTGGCAGGGCACGAGGGGAGCACAAAGGAGGAAATGGCATAAACCCAGCACCAAGGCCAGGGAGGACACACAGGGCACAGGAGAAGCTGGTCAAGTTTTAGGAGAGAAAAGGCACAGACGAGAGACAGCTAACCTGGCAGAACTGAGCAGACAGACCTGTTGAGGGAGGACAGAGGGAGATGTGTGGTAGAGGAGGTGGGCTTCACATGCCAGGTAGCCACTTTGCCTCCACCTAGTGGGAAAGTGAGGACCAACAGCAAGGCCCAGCCTCCAGGCTTGGGGACAGTAGGCCCAGCAGAGAGAGAAACAGCCTCACTTTGAAAAAAAGCAAAAGGGGCAGGCACCGCTCAAGATGCCACAGCCAGCAGGCAGTCAGTCTGCTGCAGACCCCATGCTGAAAAGGGTATTTGCACCCCGCCTCCCCTACTCCCTCAACAGACAGCAGCAAAACTGAACCCAGAGAAAACACAAGATGGAAACACACAACATCTGGGCCAGCAAATCCAGAAGGACTGCAACAGTGATAAGCCCACCTACACCGTGAAAAAGCAAAAAGCCGTAACCAGCACAAGGAGCAAGGGAGCTGCCAGTGTCCTGCATACTCCTCGGATGAGAGGACACTGCATCACAAGCCAGAGCACCTGAAAACTCAGATGCAACAAACAAGCTGAATTCCAAGCTCAGAAGCCTGGAGAGTGCTCCGTGACCATCAGCATGTGCCCTCAGGCAGCCCCTGACCTATCCAAGTTGATCTGTGGACTAAACACCAGAAATGGCCCCACAGACAATGGGAGGCATCCATAGGTCACTACCACTACCACCAAGCAGACTCCTTTCTCTCCTGTGCTGCACTAGGAACATGGAGAAGCTCACAGTGGCAAGAACCACAAGAACCTGGCTCATGTGACCAGGGCCAGAAACAGGCATTGTCACCTCCTGAAAGTCCTGTATGGTCCTGGGGTCCAGTTGAGGAGAAAGACACCTTAGGGCAGTCTGGCTTCACTGGGCAGCACTGGGGTACACACTAAGCGCCCCCCGCCATAAGCACTCTGAACTGTGTATCCTAACATGTGGCCCAACATTCTTTCCAAAGGAGCAATCTGTCTACTTGGGCTTTGGGTAAAAAGAACAAAAGAAGTTCCAAAACAGACAACACTCCAGTGTCAGCAGGCCAGACGTGAGTCAGGTCTGCTTTGGGCAAGGAGGATGCTTCAGAACTGCCTGCCAATTTCCAATACACAGAAATAGCCTCACCACATCCACACCCAGGACTGCCCCAGGCCCACAGGAACCCCCCAACATGCTCAGCCCAAATAAAAGCAACTGTACTGGCCTCCTGGTCACTTAAGCACCAAGAAAGGAAAGTGGAGAGCAGGAGAACCGTGGCCTGCTGAAAACACAGCCTGGCGCTTCACCTGCCTCTAAGAAGTGTGCCCAGGGGACACCTCCCCTAGCCACCAGCTCTTGGGGAGATGGTGATCAAAGGTGGCCCAGTCCTAACTCAACTCAGAGCCACCTGTGCTATTATCTGAAGCCCCAACACTGTGAAGACTCAATCAAGGTTTCCCACCATGACCTGCTGTATGCAACACAGCCCACTGGGCCCCCAGTCTCTCCCTCTGTAAAACAGAAAAAGCACAGCACATGATCATGGGATCTGGGAGGAGCAAAGAGTGAGGCTTAGCTCCCTCGCTTTGGTGCCTCCTCCACATGTGGCAGTTCCTTTGGCTTGCTCTGACTCCTGGGCTTCTCTGCCACTTTGCTCATGCTAAGTGGAGTTTATGGACTTGACTCCACCCTGCCAAGATCACTGATCTCACCCTGGCTTTCTACTTGCCAAGGTCTCCATGAACCAGGGCCCAAGTTCAGACTCCAATGGCCCCACATAAGCCCAGCTCTGCAAAGCAGGTCTAGTAGAAGGCCTGCACACCTTCCACTAGGTCCTAGCCCAGGTGACCCAGCTGGGAACTTGCTCCTGTGTAACTCTTAAGAAAAGGGATGATGTGGATGAATGAAACCATGTTTTACATAAAACTCTCAGAAGAACCACCCAGCATGTGTGTGTTAGGAATGTCTGGTTGGCAACAGAAACCCTAAAAACAGCTGCTTAATAGAGGGAATCCCTTCTTCCCAGACATGAATCTTGCAGAGGGAGGTGGCATGCCTGCTCTTATATGGCATCAAGGACTGCTTTACTGTTCTTTAGAATAGTGTCATCCTAATG